GGCGGCCGGGCTGCTGGCCGCGGGTTCGGCCAGCGAGTACGACTACGTGAGCTTCCAGTCGGACATCGGCTCGTACCAGAACGGGCGCTTCTACACCAAGGCGCCGCAGTGCGTGGACATCCCGGCGGACTTGCGGCTGTGCCACAACGTGGGCTACAAGAAGATGGTGCTGCCCAACCTGCTGGAGCACGAGACCATGGCCGAGGTGAAACAGCAGGCCAGCAGCTGGGTGCCCCTGCTCAACAAGAACTGCCACATCGGCACCCAAGTCTTCCTCTGCTCGCTCTTCGCGCCCGTCTGCCTGGACCGGCCCATCTTCCCGTGCCGCTGGCTCTGCGAGGCCGTGCGGGACTCCTGCGAGCCGGTCATGCAGTTCTTCGGCTTCTACTGGCCCGAGATGCTCAAGTGTGACAAGTTCCCCGAGGGGGACGTCTGCATCGCCATGACCCCACCCAATGCCACCGAAGCCTCCAAACCTCAAGGTAAGCCCTCCCCTCTCCGATGCCCGGGGCGGCTGGGGACCCCGGGATTCGCCCGGCTGCAGCGGAGACTGCGGGAAAGCCTCTGCCACAGTCGATCCCGCGGCTGCCGCTCCACCCCGGAGTTCGGACGTGCTCCCTAAAGATTGCTCTTAAGCTGTGCAGAATGATTTTTCACAGCTTGCAGTCCGTCCCAGGTGTTGCCTAGCTCCCCTCCCGATCCAGGTGCAAGGACCTCAGGGCTCGCCCGGCAGCGACGGCTGAGCCTCCCCCCTTCCTTAAACGGGGTCCCGCTTCTGGAGCCGCTCTTCCTGGGGTCCAGTCTCTCCTTTCCACACCTGAAACAAAGCCTAAAGCTCCAAATAAAAGGGGAGCCCGTCTCTCCTCTGGGAGAGAACCGAGTCCCCATCGCAGCGCTTAACACCCCAGACAGGATGCGCCAGGAGGGAAAAACCAATACCGTAGAAAGCCCAGAAAGGCCGGGAACATGCTAAGGAGCAGCTTTATTTTCAGAGGTTCCATGAGGATTTAAACAAACAAACAAACAAACAAACAAACAACTTTTCCCTTAACTAGTCATTCAGCCCAGGAGGGCAAGCTGCAGTTCTGGCTGAGGAAGAAAGTTTAGAAACCGGGGATTTCTGTTTCTCCACCCCTTTCAGGTAACAGTTTGGGGAGGGTTGGGGGATGGAAAGTCTCTTCTTTCTCATTCTTGCATACCCCCTGCTTCTCTCATTTACACAAATCCTCAGGTAATTAGAAAGATTAAAATGTAATTAGTTCATTGTTCGTCTCTCCTTGGGGAGTGGGATTTCTGATACTTTCTTAACTGTCTCAGGGACCATCCGAGGTTCCTCGAAGTCCCTGCCACTTTAAAGGGCAATTCTTGAGTGGGGGGTGAGGGGGGAAATCTCAGAGAGTCAGCGAAACCAAACCAGCAAAACCCCCAACTTGATGGCCTGACTTTTATAGGAGTGAATTAAACCCTGAATTCTTTGGAAGCAGAGTTGAGATTTAAGGATGCGGAGATAGTCTGAGATGGGGAGCCATACCCAGGTGTGCTGAGCACAGGGGCGGGTGTCGGGAGGGCTTTTCGGGTGTGGGGCTGGCTGTTTGCTGACTTCACCCATCCTCTTGTGATGCCAAAAAGGGATGTCCACTGAAGGGCGTGTTCCCCCAGAGTGAGGGTGGGGGTAGGTATGGGGCAAGGGGCACCCTGAACTTTGAATGCACTTACTTATTCTAGGAAGGGAGAAGATCAGTCTGATGTACTTGATGTTGGGTGGCGTGGGTCCCGGCCGGTTGGAAAGGCTGCAGCCTGCCTGCAGTGGCGAAGTCCGGGCACCTCTTGCTCTCCGCTTCCTGGGTGTCTGCACAGGGTTAACCTTTGGGAAGTGCAACCCTGAGAGCTGAGCAATTACCTAGAGCAAACAAAGCACTTTGTGTTCTGTGTGGAGCCATCCCCTGCAGCCCACAGCATTTTCCTCCTTCCCTTCCCCCGCGGAGGGCCACTGGGGGATTAGCCCAGCCCAGCCCTGCTCCGCGAGGCTGTGGCCAGCTCTGCTTGGGCCGAGTCCACTCATCTTTCTGGGACAGCTAGTTGGTGGACATGGAGATCTTTGGGGGAATACTTTCTGGGGGAAGATGGGAAGACTGGCTGGGGAGCCTACTGAGGAAGAGGAAAGGATCCTCCCAGCTGAACTCCAAAGTCTGGGTGTCTTCGTGAAGCCGTTTACTCTTTGGCTGCTGTTCCACTTGTCTGCTTCCCCTTGCCTGGGCCTTTTTGTACATCCTCCTCTCTCCTTCCTCCGTCCAAGTAGTCACCTTCCCAAGACCAGCTGCTGAACAGAGAGAGGGGCTGTGAGCAGTCCAGTCAGGTGTGGGACCAGGGAACTGGTTCTCCCTAGGTATTTTTGGTGAGAGGCTCTGCTTTGAGAAGGAATCTGTTCCTCCCCAGCACTACAGCCACTCAGAGGGAGCCCCACAGGACTTCCTCTGAGGCAGGATGGCCACTGGAGGTGGAAAGGCTGTGTGTGTGTGTGTGTGTGTGTGTGTGTGTGTGTGTGTGTGTGTTGGGACAGGCTGAGATGACCGCACTACTGGTCATTAAAACCTTATGGCTGGTAGCTCCCGAATAAGAACTGGTACTTTTGGATGGCAATAAGTACACATGCACTCTTTTTATTGTTTTATTCTTAAAAATTAAAACAGTTTTCAAAGCAGCATCAGATCTCTGCATGATTTAGCTGATTTCTGTTTACATACTTGAGGGTATTGGGCCTCCCTTTGTGGCCATGTGTTATTAAAGATAAACTTAGTTATGAGAAATGAGGCAAAAGACCCCCCCCCCCCCAAAAAAAAAGGCCATGGCCTGAGCTGCATCAAGCATCTGTTATGGGAGAGGCGATGGTTCTTTCCCCAGGAAAGTTATTTCTAAGTCTTGCACTTACGTTAGACCTGTGCACTCTGATAAGTTGTTCCCCCTCCCTGCCAGGTTTTACTGATTGAAGTTGTTTGAACAAGCAAATACTTTTAGTTTAGTTTTGTTGTTATTTACGCATGTTGTGCATTAAATCAGCCTGGCTGTTGTAGTCACAGATCGCAGAGGCCGCAGTGTGATCATTATGACCAAGAGCCTTCTACAGAGCCCCTTCTCCATGTATCCGGGAGATGGCTGGGGGAGACCTGCTGTGTGTGTGTGTGTGTGTGTGTGTGTGTGTGTGTGTGTGTGTGTGAGAGAGAGAGAGAGAGAGAGGAAGAGGGAGAGAGAAGGGGGGGTGATGTGCTGTGTTTGAGAGGGGGGGTAGAGAATGTGTGAGGTACATGTGTGTGCATTGATTTTAAAAAATTCACTCAATCCTGATTCCACTGTGGGACTTTCTCTTCTACTTCCCTTTAAATATTAATAAAACACAAAAACGTTTTAGGTTTTGGTTCCTTTGCTTTAAACATTATTTTAAATACACTTTCAAAGGGGTTTTGTTCCACCTCTCAGCCAGATGACTGGGTGGATTTCTCCTGCCGAGGCAGCCTGTGGGGCCCCAAGGACAATCGGAGGGGCACAGATTAATATTGCATTACACATTCCTCCCTTCTCTGGATCAAGCTGCTGCTGCTCCAGAGTCTGCTGCTGCTCCAGAGTCTGCTATAAGGAAAGCAAGATGGGGGGAAGCCACGTTGAGCTCACCTCAGCAAGATCCTGCAGCCCTGAGAGGCACTGACGGCCAAAGGTCACGGAGGGAAGTGCCCCCGTGGGGAACTCAGTGTGTCTGCACCACATGATGTGAGTGTGTGGAGCCGATGGAGACCTGGTGTTTACATGCTGATGGCCCTGGTCCTGCTACTTGTTTAGTCAAGGTTGTATTCATAGAACCTTGCAATATGATAGCTTCCACTTTTTAAAAAATAAGGAAACAAGGAAAATCCCACAGCAAAGTTGATGCTCCCTCTATAAGTAACAATGTCCTTCCCATATTGTGGGACTTCCTTTCCCTGTTTTTCTCCCCAGGGAAGCAAGAACCATATGTAAAACTCTGGCTAAGTTTTTCCCTTTGTTAGAAACACTACCAATTTCAAATTTGATTTTGTGTGAAAAGCAAATTTCCAACATCTGGGCCAAAAGACAGTCAGACAGTCTTCTGCTTGGAGTGTGGCTATGGTTCCTGCTGCACTGAGAATCGGGACGGTGTTTGGCCCTGGGTACAAAGACTAAGGCATGTGGTTTCTGCTAGGCCCACTTTCCTGCTGGGAAGTGGGGGGTGGGTGGCCAGCTCTGGGCCAGTTATGTCCTGGGAACAGCATTGATCTGGGAGGGCTGTGCAGCTCCTTACCTACCTCCCATCTTGGGAGGCTTTGCTCATTTCACTGAGCCATAGGGGAGCTCATAGAGGAGGACTGCTATCCCAGAAGCCATGGAGAGGGAAGGAAGGGAGCAGGATGAAGAGCCTTATATTTGAGCAAATGTCACTCAGTACACATCCTTCCTTGGGGTGACTTTCCTTTGCTCCTTAGCTCCAGCCTGGCATGGCCTCTAATGCTGTGCCAAGGATGGAGTGCCCTTGGAACATGCTAATGCTTTCTTCCTAGATCATGGATAAAACTCCAGGTGGTTTGAGAGATGGTGATAGTGATGATGGTGGTAGTGGTGGTGGTGGTGATGGTGGTGGTGTGGTGGTGGTGGTGAGGATGGTGATGGTGATGATAAGCCACTGCGCCCTTCTGGGGATTCCACTGTACCACTTTCTCCCTGCCCTTCCACAGAGACAGTTTATCTCCCCAGGATCCCTCTAGCACCAGCAGCATTTTGTCTTGGAGGAGGCCTCTAGCCCTGGCCTCAGATGCCTCTTCCCCTGGAGCTTAGCCACCTATCAGTGGCCCTCAGGTCAGCCATACACACATCTCTTCAAAGCACTTCACAGTGCTGTGAAAATGCCTCCAGAGGGTCTCTCCCACCCAGCTCTCTCCTCCCATTTGGCAGCTCTTGCTAGCAATTGCCCTTTTGGAGAGGGGTGTTCTGGGCCTGGGGTTAGAGTTCATGAGTTGGCTGAGTTTTTATTTATTGGCTCCTGAAGAGCCGGTCAGATTGACCTGCTGTCTTGTTGGGAGTTTGGGAATGGGAAGGGGGTGGGAATTGGATGGGGGATATTTAAAAGAGAGGGGGGAAAGAACAGGAAACCAACAACTGGAATAGATGTGTTTGGTTTATAAGTCAACTTTTCCCTGAGACCCACCATACCCCATTAAGCCACAAGTTACAGGACTGCTTCCACCCAACCCGATATTGTTGCTTTAAATAGGTGTGCCATATTCAACAGCTCTAGCCCCGAAATTTTCAAGAAGCCGTATGTCTGCTTATAGCTTTAGGTTGTGGGCTTTAGGAGTCTTCTTTTTGATTTTCAGGTTGCCCTTCAGAAATTCCAGAAGACCTTTAACTACTTTCTTTCTGGTCGTGGGTTGATGTCTTTCCCAGGGAAGGCTTCTCTCTGCACCCATTAACCCATAACTCACAGCTCCTTTTTCTCCTCCTCTCCCTTCCTAGGCACAACTGTGTGTCCTCCATGTGACAACGAGTTGAAATCCGAAGCGATAATTGAGCATCTCTGTGCGAGCGAGTTTGGTAAGAAAGCATCCCTGGCTGCCTTGGGGAGGTTTGGCATTCCCAGGTTCCTTCTGGCCCATATCCCTGCTGAACAGAGCCTGTTGATGCGTCTTTTGGGGGCGCTATGTTCTCTACTTCCAGCCTCCCTTGTGGCTACTTTTCTCAGGCAGATGGAAGACTAGACAGGGTGGGGATCCGGGCGGTTGTTATTAAAGTCAAACTTTGCTTTTGTCCTTCTGTGTGGGAGGTCCTTGGTCAGGATTTTGGCGACCTTCTCTAGGAGCGAGGGGTAGACTTGGGGACAGGTGGACAGGAACTAGGGGGAAACACCACTCCTTGGACACTACCAGGAGGCACAGCGGGCAGCTAGGGCTGGTCTTCTCTCCGCACCGGCTCTTTCTCCATCCACCCCTAGGTGTCAGCACCACTCTACCCAGGATCTAAAATGGCTGGAGGCTGGGTGCCTTCCTAGGGAGGTGAGTCTACTGTTAGGGCACTCAGAGAAGGGGCCTCTATCAGGTCCTTCCAGGCAAAGAAAATTGACACCCCCACAGGATTGGGATTTAGCTTCCTTTTCCCCAAATCACTGTGGGTTAAAGGGGAATTTTGAATCAGCACTTAGAGCCCAGGAGAAAGGCTTGATGTGTCCCGGGGAGCTGATCTCAGGTGGCCTTTCAGGGATGGTCCCTGGTGGGGATGTGGTGGAAGACCCGTGCTCCAGACACCATGGGCGTCTCTCCTCTGGGAGAAATAAATGTTCACCGCATCCATTTGAACAGCTGACTCCCTTGTGCCTGCCTCTATTTTATGGTCTGGGCCAGGCCTGCTTTGCTGAAGGACAGGTTCAGCCTGACGCGAATGGGGGTTTCTCATGATGCCTGCACCGTGTCCCTGAGGCTGGATTTTGTACAGAATTCTTACCAGGAAAAGCAGAACAGTAAGTAACGTGAGTGTGCCCTTTCAGAACCACCACCACACATCACCAAGTACACGAAAAGGCCTCGTACTGGCAAAGTGCCACGTCTGAATGAGCTGCACACGTATGTGTGTGCACACACAAGTTAAAGGACATTGTACATATGACAGATGTGCTCTCAGGGTATTTGCCATTGTGACTGAAGACACGTTGGGGAATTGAGACCCTTTGCCATGGAGAGCTTCTTGAGGAGGGATGTGTTTTGCGTGCTTCATTTCTTTCTTTTTTAAAAAAAATATTTTTATTGATTTCAGAGAGGAAGGGAGAGGGAGAGAGAGATAGAAACATTAATGATGAGAGAGAATCATTGATTGGCTGCCTCCTGTATGCCCCACACTGGGGATCGAGCCCGCAACCTGGGTATGTGCCCTTGACCAGGATCGAACCTGGTATCCTTCAGTCCATAGGCCAATGCTTTATCCACTGAGCCAAACTGGCCAAGGCTGCATGCTTCATTTCTACACTAGGTGTCTCCGTCTGCCTCCTTCATCCTTGGGGAGGACAGCAGGACCTCAAAGATTTGGTCTATTCTGCATTTTGCTGCTTGTGTTTGTCACACACTTTTCCTTGTTGTCATCTTAAATGAACTCAAATGAAATTGTTATAGAGGGCTCTGATTACCCCGCCATCTGACCGTAGTGGCATTTGCTTCTTGATGGTCACACTCTTGCTTCGTCAGAAGGTGTTCAATGCCAGGCTGAACCTGGTGGGTCTCCTGTGAGTAAGCCTGTGGGTGCGCAGCCCCTCATTGCCTTAGCAACAAGCTTTACATCCACACATGGGGTTGGGATTTTTTTCCCTAAGAAATGGAGAAAAAGAACATAAAGTCTCTCAGAAATCCTGAGGGGAAGCCTTTTGCTGCGTGGCTGGGGCAGGAAGAATCTGCTCACGTATGGCTGTGTTCCTGAAGGATCCTTAGGAGGGATGACTAAGGGGCCACTCTTGTAGATTTCATTGATCCTCTTCCGCTATTGTAAATCACCACACTTACTTTCAGAAATTGGCCCCCTGGCAGTTCATCAAATCCAGGGAATTGAGTGAAACTCTGAAAGGTAATATATTAGCTGATGTGAATGCTCATGTGACTTCTATCAGGCTCAGCTCCTGAGGGAAGAGTGATGGAAAAACCCTGGAACTGAGTGTGGAGGTGACTAGCAGGGGGTGTCTTCCTGGTATGGAGCTCAAATCCAGTGCATCTGATTATTCATTGATTCACATGTCTATTCATTCAATATTTCTTGGGTGCAAAGCCCTGTGCTAGATGCCATATAAAAAAATACTTACCTAGGGTAAATTGAAATTTAACTTTAAGAAATTTAAAATCCTGACCAAACACTAATCAATGATTTTCTAGACACTATGGAGTCATTTTATAACTTACCAGCTGAAGAGAGGGGTGTGGGGACTCAAGGCCAAAGTTAATTAATGCCAAGGAAGTGTGAGAAAAGAATCCATGCTTACGCCCCGATTGTAGTCTGGAACATACCAACCTGAACTTGTCATCAGGTCTCCTCTAATCTCCCCCAATTACCTACCAAAATTCTGGTAACTAGGGGCTTTGTGGCAACTAGTGAACCTGGAGACATTCCCTAGAGGTGAGCTGAAGAGTCAAGCCTTGGGAAATAATTTGAATGTGAAAGGTTGACCTTTTGGTGTAGGGTAAGAGTCTGGTGCTCAGGTAACTCACCTGGGGATGGACATCTTTTCCCTTAAAAAGTAGGTGCCTACTAAGTGAGCAGGTGAGTGAGCAAGCACCTGCGCATGGCTTCCAGGAGAGAGGGCTCTATCTTATTTTAATAACCAATCAGGTCTCCGTGAATCTGAGTGACTGGGACTGTGTTCTTTTAGCTCCGAGATTATTTTCTTCTTGGGTTCATAGAACTTTTGACTTCCTCCCGGAACGTACAGGTCATCTTATCAAGTTCACTTATTTCATAAATAAGGAATCTGACTTTCCCAACTGGAGTTCTTTGACTCTGAGTCATGTTGTGACTCTCTGTCACGTTGCCTTCCTCTTTAAGAGAAGACGAACGGCCACCGGACTTTGCCGTAGAGACGTTTATCTCTCCAGCGTGGGTGTGGTATATGCGAGGCCTCTTTGATTTGGATGCAGAGAGACTTTTAGTTTTTCTATTTGTAATGTTCTTCTAAGACAATAAGTAGGGCTCCTCCCCTCCTCTCTGCAGGGGCTGAGCCTAGCTCTGCCCTTCTGAGCACCCTGAAGAATGCAGCCTTGTGGGGAACTTGTTCTGAGCTGAGTTCAAGTAAGTGAAACAGTTAGCTTACACTGATGGGATTCAATTAGGAAACAAAGACATTCGGCAATGTAAGATGACACACAACAGAAAAGAAAAAGAACATTTTACTCCCTACTCCAGGGATCAAACTTTGCAGTAAGTGGCCCTGACATCCCGGATGGGAAGACATCAGGTTGTTGGAAGGCTCTCTGTGAGCTCCAGGAACAAGGGGTGCATTCCTTCTGGGTCAGCACGCACACTTGCCCTCCTGCCAACTCCTCCTCGGACTCCCGCATGGCCTACCATCCCTCCTCCTCGGGCAGTGCACGCTTAACTCTGCCTGGTGTGCTTGGCCACCAGTCTCTCCGCCCCTGCGCTGGACCCCCTCGGTTCAGAACACATTTTTTTCCCCCAACAGGGAAAAGCATCAGTAGAAACACCTGTGTGCTGATGCTCAGGAATGCAGTTGGATCAGCCTGGATCAAGCACCAGATGGGGTAGCCAGAAGTTAGGTGGTGCAGTTTCTGAATTCAGGTTGGTGGCCAGCCTACGTGCAGTGCTCAATTTAGGACGCGCCGACCTGCTTTTTGTCCTCTCTGGTTTTCCTGCTACGTGACAACAGGCTGCTGCTCTCTCCTCTTACGCAGGCCAATATAGTATTGCAAGTGGCCACACTAATGATCCTGCTGTTAGTAACCCAGTGCCCATGGCCGTCTTCAGGTCAGCTTGTCCCAGGGATGTGAGGGTCTGATTTATAATTGCTGCCAGGTTAGAACCCCACCTCTGGCCACTCACTCTAGCTTCTCCAGTATCTGCAAACACCCTTAAGCTTTTCTGCTGGAAATGTGCATGATGATGAGATAGTTCAGAGCTTTCTTTTACCGGCTTCCACAGTTTTCTTGAGCTTGAGAGTTCAGTTGACAACTTCTTTAGCCTGGTATTTTCTCACTGTGGAAAAAGATTTCTTTGCTCCCAGAAATTTTCCTTGCTTTCTGGAAGGATTCCCCCCATTTATATGTTTCCTCATAAAGAGTAAAAACATACTTTTGCAACACTAAAAACGAGTCAAATAGGAAAGCAAAAAATCAGCTCTCACAGTTAAGTGTTTGGGAGTATTTCCTACAAGAAGGATGTTTGAAGATTCCTGCACCTTCGCAAATCTGTTCTCACTCCTTTTCCAAGGTGTCTTGGCTGTGCTGCTGTTCGGAGACACAGTGTTTTACGCTGAAGGGCTGTTTGATCTCTTGCAAAGAGTAGGTCCAGCCTTTCCAAACTAAGCCCCGAGTTTCCTCCCACAGAGGAGGAAAACTGGCTGCCAGCAAAATAATTGCAACATCTGTAAGCTGCTTGAGAGCAGGGTCTGTATCTTGTACCGTATTTTACTTAATATAAGATGCCCATTAATTGTGAGATGCACTATTGATTTGGTACCACTAACAAAGAAAACATAGTTTGTGTTCAAATGTAACGATAATCCATGTCTTAGAATGAACAGAACAAGGTCTGCTTGTACTTAGAGCCTCTGGCACGGTGTCTTAGACATGGAGGCACAATTAAATGTTTGTCAGATGAGAATATAAGTGACACAGGATGGCAGGGATTTGGGAACTGGACTTCCTTTTTTAATAAGAGGACGAAGGCTCCTTTCCAAGTGAATATGTGCCACTTGTTTATTAAGTCCAAGGAAAACCACATGCCCTGGTGGGGGTGACTGAGTGTATATGTAAAAGAAAAAGAAGCCCTAGCATTCAGAAATCTAGTTCAGTCAAAGTGAAATTAAATAGACATGAGAGAAGGGAAACAAA